TTTGGGTCAGCTGTCCCAGCTGTGTCCTCTCCCAGCTTCCCATGCACCCGCTGCCTTCTCACTGGCACGAGAAGCTGAAAAGTCCTTGATTGCTCAGCAACAACTAAAAGTATCAGTGTGTTATCAACATTATTCCCATACTAAATCCAAAACACAGCACTACACTAACTACTAGAGAGAAAGCTAACTCTGTCCCAGCCAAAACCAAGACAGTATCCATCCCTTATTCTATACTATCTACGTGATGCCAGATTCTACACTTCCCAATACATTCCAATTAATCACCACCACTTTTCCTGTTCTTTGAGCTATACATATGCACACACAGACATCATTTCCTTAGTCTATGGGTCATCCCTCTAGAAACGTCCATTGAGTTCATTTAGTCCATGACCCTGGGCTCAGTCTGTCACAACAGCCTTTCAGGACAGGAGAGATGGTGTGAGTCCCCCCTCAGCCTCCTCTTCTCCAGACTGAACAGCCCCAGCTCCCTCAGCCGCTCCTCATCAGACTTGTTCTCCAGCCCCTCCCCAGCCTCGCTGCCCTTCTCTGGACACACTCCAGCCCCTCAATGTCCTGTTTGTAGTGAGGGGCCCAGAGCTGAACACAGCACTCGAGGTGCAGCCTCACCAGCACCAGTACAGGGGCCCAATCCCTGCCCTGCTCCTGCTGGCCACACCATTGCTGACAAGCCAGAACACCGTTGGCCTTCTTGGCCATCTGGGCACTTTTCCTTCAATACTGATCGGACACCTGTTGAGACATTAGCAGGGAGTCAGGACATGAAACAACAATATATCTTGATTAAAGGAAATCAGCTGCTACACCAAAGGTCATGCTTGAAAGTCTTCCATCCATTCTGGAAAGTTTCTGAAACACAAGTGAAATCTGCATATTTTACTGCAAAGGTTATTCAAAAGTGCCCTTGAAGCAACACATGAGTTTGTCGAAGTACAGCTCATACCATAGCAAGAGGCAAGATGACCCTGTTTAGGAAGAGGCTGCTAAGCTGTACTTAAACAATGGCTATGCAGCACACATTTGCAGCTGAACAAAAATACCAAACGCCATCTTGCATTAACACTGCCAAACCACAAACCATACTGGAGGCAGGTACTGGGCACAGCATTTCTGCAGCCAGCGCTGAGCCACAGTTGCACTGCAGCAAGCGAGAGGCAGGAACAGAAACACTGCCAGTGGTTTTACCAGGGTCCATGGTTGATCTAGTCCTCTTCAACCAAGAAAACAGAAGATCTAGCAGAATATATTCCAAATTCAAATTTTATATTTTATCAACTTAAACCACACTTCAAGTCAAATTCCCACATTGTTCACTTGCTCAAACTACAGTATTCTCAGCAGCTAATCAGATTTTCATGAGTTTGATCAATGAAAATGCTGTGCTAGGAAGTCACTTCTTGCAGTGATGCTTTAGTGCCCTGGCCCGGAGCCTTGCAAAGCAGATGACACATTTCAGACCTGCTCTAGCTGCTGGTGGCTGGACACTTCCCTGACTCATCTATGGAATCATAACTTTGTGTGCCTAAAGCCTCTGGAGTTTGAAAGGGGCTAAACATGAATTTGCATTTGGTGCTCCAGGCGTAGTTTTGCCCACAGAATCTGTCTCTAGAAATATTTTCTGAAACTCAGAAGCCATAGGCCCTGAGCCAAATGTTCACCACACTTCCTAACAGCTCCGACAACCAGGAAACACAAAGACCTCAAGTCCTTCTGAGGAAAAACATATATATGTATGTATAGACCCACACAAATAGATTCCTCTACACATTAAACACATGAATTCTGCAAGCAACCCATAATGAATGTAAACAGAAATGCGGGGGGCAAAAAAATAGTCCTGACCCACTACCCAACACACAAAATTACAATAAAGCATCACTACCACAGAACCACTGGTTGCTAGGCCCCACCCAAAACCACTCTTGATGAATCTTCCCAAAAAAACTCAAACAAAAAAGCACACTGTTCTCATGATACACTGCATATTGATCACCCAGTGGAATATGCATTAGATAAATTCAGGGTGTCAGCTAGCCCTTTTATCTTTAACTTCTGTGAGACTCCAGTTCTTTGAGAATGGAGTCAAAAGTTCAGAGGACAGACCAACTCTGCTGATGCTGTGGCACGCATCTGAGAGACCACCCGACCAGAAGAGGAAGTAGCTGAAAATTTCTTTAGGTAGCTGGAAAAACCCTCTTGATAGCAAACCCTGGCAGATTTCATCTCAGCCACCAGCATGTGCTGGAAGGGCAAGATGTTTGTGCACAAGCAGTCCAGATTTAGGAAGAGCATCAAGGCCAATTTCTTGACAGATCATCAAATGAGCAAACTAAGGGAGATGCTCTGCTGCATCCGTTACTCAAAAAAAAAATCCAAACAAAACTGCTAAGAGATGGAAAGGTGAAGGCAGCCTTTCTTCTAGAGACTGAAGTGTAAGGTCCTCAACTGTCTGCACAGTAAAGCAGCCAAACTTTATCCAGAGCTGTACAAACAAAAGCGGAGCCAGGAAGTCAAGAGAACAGATTCTCCTCCTGTTTGGCACTTTAAAGACACCCACATCCAGTTCTGGCTCCTCGGTATAATGACAACATTGACATACCTGAGTCACCCCCCGAGTACAGTGGACCACCAAGATGATCAAGGAGCTGAAGCATAGGAAGTCCAAAGAGACTAAGACCTGGGTTCCTTCAACCTGAAGACGATGAAGTGAGATTGACTGCTACTTCTGACTACTCATCGCTTTAGCAAAGATGAGCTAGACCCTTCTCAGAGGTGTAGAGGGATAAAACGGGAAGCAATGAGTATAGGCTGCAACACAGGAAATTCCAGTTAGACATACATACAAGTATTTTCATGTAGAGGGTGGTCAAAAATTGGGAGACAAGCCTAAGGAGGTTGTGATCTCTGTCCCCAGAGACAATGGAAACTTACCTGTGCAAGCTGATCTGCATCCTGATCTAATTGCCCCTGGTACGAGGACAGGGATAAACCAGAGACCTCCAGGTGGCCCTTCCTAAATTATTCTGTGAATCCATGATCCACATCCAAAAGCAAAATTACAACCCAGCACTCCAGGATAACAGATGCTCAGCTGAGAAACAGGTTTCGAGAAGCCAAAGCCCAGCTAGAGGAAACTAACAAGAAGTAAGAAAGACAACACCCAGTCCTTGTTTTTCTACTGCATTTGTTCTACTACAATGACTTTTTCTGTCATCATTCTTCTCTGCCACATGCAGCTATGTATGACAAGGTGACCCTCACCTACATTTAAATGTGTACTGCAACTGTGTGTGTGTCTGTGGAGTTTAGTGTATATATGTAAGTTTAAAGGATAATCCCCATTACTGATTATAGAATCATTTATGGAGGCTTTGTGGGACCCAAATTCAGCTAAAATTGGTGCTTTTTAGAGGCCAAGGAAAAACAAAGCAATGAAGAAAGTTGCATACTGAGCAACAGCTTGTTTACTCCTCCCCTTTTTCCCCTCCTCCAACAGTTCATACTGTACACCATCTGTTGTAATTGCTCACTGACATCATTTAACTGGCTGCCCAGGGAAGTGGTTGAGGTATTTAAACACCTTAGAGGTATTTAAAAGATGTATAGATGCAGAACTTAGGGACATGGTTTAGTGGTGGAATTGACCGTGTTAGGTTAATGGCTGGACTTGATCTTGACAGCCTCCTCCAAGCTGAACAATTTTATGATTCTATCATCACGCCTGGTGCTTGGACATCAATCAGAGCACTTCAAGCATGTTTTAACATCATACCAAATCCTTCATCTTCTTGCATCCAGAAACAGAGGTGGCCTGCTGTATAATGTTGACTGAAGAGTACAGTGGCAAAAGAGGACTTCCATGACATACATGGACCTAAATCTGTGTGGGCAAAGGGGAAGAGGTTTTTTCCTGTAAGACTGAGCCCTTCAAATGTTTAAATAACCCGAGGAGCAGCTTTTCCCAGCTCAAGTATATGACGCAGGCTAGCCACTGCACTGACTTTTGCCTTAAGAAACCCCATGTGGATACATTATAGTCTCAGTAACTTAAGGATCACACTAAAGCAAATAAATCCATGGCAAAACCTAAAGCATCTCACTCTACAAAACAAGTCAGGCCACAGTCAGATCTTTAATAAAAGCACTTTGAGTCAGTGACGAACAAGATACAGCAGACATAACTCACAAAAATCAAGTTGGGCATAGAGTGTGCTACTGGTGTTTTCAGAGGATCAAACAAGGTCCCTAAACCTAACCATCCCCTCAGTGGCTTCTCAGTCATTCACAACACACTACAAGGCTGCTAAAAAAGAGTCACTCTTGCCTCACCCTGCCTCCAGTCGGTATGGAAGAAGCACAGAAAGGTCCTTGTTCCAACCAAAATCAATGGAGTAAATTAACCCAGAAAAAAAACTCAAGCTCTAATCTCCAAGTAGGAGGTTAAGTTGATTCTACAGGAAGGAGACCAAGCAACCTCTACTCCTCCCTACTTCCCCCAGTTTCCACAACATGCACTTCAGCTAGGGCACCTTTGTGGAGAGAAGCCTGACACTGCCAGCCTTCTAACAGGATTCATCTAATTTGAGCAGGGCATGGCAGAAAGCGTCTCCCTGTAGAAACCATTCCCCATCTTACTGGTTAGTCTGTTCAAAGGGGCTGTCAGCCACATCTTTGACAACACTAGGCAATTTCATTTAGCAATCTTCTGTCCTGATCCCCTTATTGGGACATTAGAAGCCAATAAAAGGTGCATAGCATCCTTTTCACCAGGACATTAGCTAAGTAACCAATTTTAATTCCAAGAGTCAGAGTGATCCTCTTTCAGTAACTCATTAGGCCCTGAAGCTCCCTTGGTAACGGGAAAGGTTCTGCAGCACTGAGAGAAATATAGCAAAGGGCTTGCTCTCCGAAGCCCAGCACACACAAGAGCTTTGGAAGGTTGTATCCCTGCATTTTGGTCTTTGGGTAGTGCCACCTGCTCAGTATCTGTAGTGGTCTGGCTTGAATGGCCCATCTTTTGATAAGCCTAGGTATTTGGCCTGCTTGTCACTCAGCTTCGTCAGCTTCACACACAGTTTATCCAGATGAGCAGCAGCCACAGCTTCATCCAGCTGGAAAACAAAATATTGAGACAAGAATATTAGCAGAGAGTCCCATCAGTTCAGGAAGTCACGGTCAACAGTGACAAATGAATACGTGAAAACCAACAACAGTCCCAAGGAGGATTTAACAGACTGACACTGAAGAACAGTGAGACATACCAACATCCCTCACCTGCCTGAGCACAGACTCATCTGCCTTGAGCACAAAACTGCATTCAGGTGGAAAAACTCTCATACTTTTGAGGGAGTCAAGTTAAGCTTAAGTGAAACAGACAACTTTATATAATCAAGCCCATTTTAATCTCATTTACACATTCACATCCATCCAACAAGAACAGAGATGAAACCATTCAGAGATAGGAATATCCAGTTTGGCAGACCAGTAAAACCCCAGTCAATTTCCACTACAAAGACACCTGGGCATACTAGACTATCATCTTACAATTTTAGATAAGTTATAATACTGGGGAAAAAAAGCATCTCCTTTCCGATATCCCATCTTCAGAGAACATGTATTAAGAAATTGATTCCAAAATCACTAATTCAGCAAGAATATCGGTATCTATTAGCATTGTCTTCATGAAGAATAAAGCCAAGGCGGGCTGTAGGACATGGGCTCAGAAATATGTTGATATGCTTTCTTTATCCCAGAAGTGTCAGGCAGACATGAGAACTCAAGGGATTGAAAAATGTGTAAAGTTACAAGACAGTTAAATGCTACAGGAGATAAGTACAGAAGAGTCAGAAAACAAACAGTACAATGGCAAACTCGAGTGGAATGTATAGCCATAAAGGACATTCAAAGATAGAAAGGACAGCACTAAGAAGGGATTCGGGTGCTGCTGAGTTACAACAGAAGGACAAGTTTGACCACCTTTTGCAATTCCTGCAAAATACAATTAAACACTGCTAAGGAAACAGAACCAAGGTAAGTCCAGCAGCACGGGAAACACTGGTGGTATTTCCCTCCATACTAGCTAAATAGATGTGAAATGTTGCAATATTTTTGAAGGGCAAAATATCAACAAAACAATCAAGGGCCAGATCTTCAGCTTGTGTGAACAAGCATGTCCTAAATGATTCAACAACCAGGCCTACGTTTCCCACTCAAAGGGAGTGTGGTGATAAGCAACTACTCTGAAGTAATCCCATTGTAACAAACCAAGTAAAGCTCTGCACCAGTACAGAGTATTCACTGCATCTCAACCTGCTCACAGGAATACGGAAATGCCAACACCTCTTAGGAACTAACATGGCCAAAGATGTACAAGACAAAATTAAAAACATAAGACAAAGCAGTGGAAGAATGTGGAGGCGGACCATGAAAGCTACTGAACACTACACAAGAGTCAGGAAAATCACAAAAGAAAGAAAACCTAACTGGAAGGACTGCGTTTAGAAGTGAAACAAGTATTTAAGCTTAGTATATCCTGCCTGAAAAAAGGAAGGTTAGAAATTGAATGTATATCTGGTTAGCTAGACTGACATGTGAAGATCTGATATGTGCATTTCCAGCAAATTTGTGACAGATTACACCCACTTGGAAAAGAGCTAAGTCCCTGACACTTCCCAGATCAGGTTCTCAAACTGCAGCAGAGAAGTTCTTCACAGCCGCTTCAGCTTGGGGACTTTGAGATTTAGATAAAATGGTACACAAATTTAGATGAAGGTAAACTGACATTCTTACCTTAAAATCAGGCAGCTGAGCATAACAATGGACAGCTTTGGAGCCAAGAACCTGGACACAACAGTTTGCCTAGATTTCCAGGAACACACTGCAGAAACGTGTGCATGCTCATAACAGTCGATCATCAAAGCAATATTCTTGCAGTCAAAGAATGTGCAGTGTAAGCTGCTTGGTAATTCTTAAACTTCACCTTTGGACCTCAAAACTACTACACAGAATAAGATACTAGGCAGAAAATTATCACAAAAAAAAGCTATTCTACCCGTTTTTTTGTTAGTTCTGACAAGAAAACTGCTTTGTTCTTTGAAATAGCTCTATGGAGCGCATAGGGTGAAAGGAGCATTTCGTCACAGCAGATGAGCCTGCAAAGATCACTGCGCCATATGCTCCACTACCATGCAACACTGAGCTGGGCACTACTTCTCATTTCTAGTTCAAGTACGCTTACTAAAAGTTGTTATTCAGGAAGAGTATGAAGCCACATTTTATTAGCAACATTGGACTATCATTTTCGAGAGAACTGTCAACAAAACTTCTCCTTTGCAGATGATTATGTGTCAGCTTGCTGATCAACTCCTACACTGTATTTCTGGTATGCTTTGCTTCACCCTGAACAGCTGGTTTTGGAAGCTTAAGTCTTTCAGCAAACACTTCATAAGTAAGCCCAAACATACACATTCTACTTCCCAAATGAGAAGTATTTTCACTTTTAGTCTCACACCTGGTTGCATTTCAGAGGCAGTGGGATTTAACTCCAGCATCTTTTTCAATGACCACCCCACATTCTCACACTTGTTTGGGAAAATTAAAACCAGGTTATTTTTATAAAAGGAATTTGTAAGTTGTGACATGATCCAGATTTTTCCAAGAACAAAGAATGCAGAGAGATAAGTTTAAAGGGAAACCCAAGAGAATCTGTCATGAATATTTTGTGAAGCTATTAGGACCAGATTGTGATAATCTGGTCTCAGGTCCAAATGGGACCCAGACTCTATCAACCACAGTAAAAGCAATTCCTAGTTTCACTCCAGCCTCAACTCTGCCCCACTAGACTTTGCTGCTGGATAGGCATGTGAAAGCTTGCTGTGAATGCTGACATTCAGCAGAAGGAACAACTTGGTTGAGAGAAGCTCCCTGACTACGCTGAGGCAGCACAGAACTTCCCAGCACCTTAGGTAAGAGCCCCAGGTGAAGCCAAAAAGTAACTGGACATTCCTATCACACTGACAGACAAGTCTCAGTTCTGCACAACAGCTTATCCATGAAAAACAGCCCACTTCAGACTCAGCACGACCAAAGCCAAGCATTCACTGAGGGACAGCAGCTCCTTGCAACAACATTCAGTGGGAAAATGAACTCAAGCACAAACAAAATAAATCTACATAATTGCACCTGAAGTTTGGGGGACCCATGGCACAGCCCAAGTTGCCCAGTCGGCCCTCTGCTAGCAGTATAATATGACGGCCATTCCTCAGTGTATAGCGATCCACCTGGGTGGGGAAAAAAAAAAAAAAATCAAGAGTAGTGTGATGTCAGGGTAAATAGAGCATTTTCAATCATGCAAAGCTTGGAGGGCTTTCTTCTCATGTCAACAATTCAGCAGCGGGCTTGTAACACAGACTTTGATTACAATCGAGTCATCCCTCAATTCCCAGCCAGTGTTTGCAACGCCTGTAGTTATTCTGGCCTTCACTCAACACAAATCTTAGCATCTGCTTCAGACTTCACCAGTTATCCAGTTCTAGTTTTTCCACATGCGTGTTGTCTCAGCTGGCTGTGGAGAGCATGCTGCCAGCAGTGAAATACAGCTCATATGCCTCATTATAACAACTGGTGTGGAGAGACAGCAGAGAAGAGGAAACATCCTGCATGCAACAGTCCAGAGCCTTTGCATCCAACACAGCAGGTAAGAGCCGGTGTTCTCAGCCTGCTGAAACTGCTCCCCTGTAATTCCTCCCACTTCCATTCATCAAGGCTTTACAGTGCAACGAACAGCTGTCCCAGCTCCTGGTGTACCCTTCTTTGCTCTCAGGGGGCCAAAGACATGGTCCTCCACTCAGACAGATTTCCAAGCTGTGCTGGGGACAATAGGACTCTGCACAAAGAATCAAGTCTCAGACAGGCTAAGCAGACAGGTCTTCAGCTGTGAGAGAGAGTCCCACACAATTCAGGAGACAGCGTCACTTAATGTGCGCCTCAACTGTCTGGGCCAGATTGGGCTCCTGCAATGCTAAAGCTAACTCTGCTTCTCTTTTCCACCAGCCACTGGCTATTCTCTCCTCTGCCTTCACCTCGCAGGAGGTTACAATATTAAAGCCCACAATGAAATGCCAATACGGCCTGTAAGTTACACGAATATTCAGTATTCACTGGTATTTATTGCTCAGGTGACACCAAGCACATGGCAGTAGGGCAAGCCTTTGGAAAGACTTAAAATAATCAGCAACCAACTTTGACAAAGGTTAATGCTTTAGACAAATCCATTGGTCTTACGCTGTCATAGCACAGCAACTGTGAGAGACCTACAAGGGTCCCTCTGGACAGCTGTATTTATACTTGTAGTCCCAAAAGTTACTTAACATGAAGCAAAACACACATCACTCAGTTTTATTCTTAAAGCTTTGGCCCGTAAGTTAAAAAACCATGTGGGATGAAGCCTTCATTGTAACAATACCATCTTCTGACAAAACATCTTTCTGCAGGTCCCTAGCAGAGGTGTAGTAAGTAAACCAGTAGAAACCATTGTACTGGAACAGGAATTTTGCATTCAGAGCCGGTCTGTGCCTCTACCTGTCTTCCCCAGCTATGCTTCGGTCACAGCACTATTTTCTACTTCTTGGGTTCACATAACAGATTATTGTGATTTCAGCACAACATACGCAGACAGTAACCACCTCAAACAGAAGCCTTAAATAACATTCTTAATTTTTCCTGTCCAAGAGCAGTACAGCAAGCTAGGGTTAAGTAAGAACGCTCTCTACTGAGCAGTTACAGTATTTCTTATGGGTGCAGATTCTCCAGTGCAGACCACCAGTGACAGTACTCTGTTCACCCAAAAACTACCATATGGGCTATCATAAGATTATGGGAGGAATTAATGAAACAAAGAAGGAAGCAGCCAGAAAGCAGAACACTGAAAACGTTGAGAACAGGTACAATAGTACTCATATTAAATGTTGTATTTATGGATTGACTACAAGGTAGCAGTTAAGTAGCATTTAAGTTTTGAAGTCTGAATGGGTGGTGTCAAGATACTGTATCTATATAATATTTACACAACTTGCACCTGGAAAGCTGCTGGCTTGTGCATGGAATCACATATCTCTGGCAATCTGCTGACATGACTCATTCAATGCACAGGGCAATACAGAAAATGCAAATTAATGTCTTTGCACAGAAGGAAATACAAAATAGTAGTGGCATTGCACTACTTACAGAGGCATAAGTTGGTACTGTGAAAACACATCTCATCTATAGGCTCAAGGAATTCGAGTTATCCAAGCATTAAGTTCATCTCCACGCTTAGACAAATGCCTCCTCCCTTTCCCCATCAGCATTTCGCTTGCTCTGGACTTTGTCTGCTTTACACTTCCTTACACTCCATGACGCATGAATAACTTACTTTCAGAGACAAAGTCCACTGATCCCACCCTGACCTTTCCTTCCCCTCTAGAGCTGAGCTTGTGCTACACACCAGTCTCCAATACCAGGACGCAGTTGAGCAGGGCTGCAGTGCAAACCCATGTTCAGAACAACCTGCCAGCTTTTCAGTAATAAGCCTGTTTCCTCCTCAGCTGTACTTCAGAAACAACAGATGAGTCAGAATGGCACAAGTTCCTTTCCCAACTATTGAACATGTCTTAGACCAGCTCACCACTTGTAAATGGAGACCACATGGTACGGAAAACCACCATGCTGGACATCTTCACAATTACTCTGTACCTCTAGCTGAAGTCTAGCAACCATCAGCTCTGGTATTAACCCTCTGATAAAGAAACAGATGTCTTCACAGGAAGTTTGAGATTATTGCCCTTGTACTATATTCCCCTCCCTGCTACAGAACATAGAAGAAAAGCGGTCACATCTTAATAAAAACTGAGTATTTAGAGAGTTGGTACTTCGTATTATAAAACCTCACCCAGAACACTGATGCGAGAAAACATACGTGATTCTAAGGACAAGTGCAAGATCTCACACCTTTAGCACAGGACTGACCACCCCTTGAGGTCCCCCCTGGTAAGACTGGGGACAAGATGACCACAGAAGTGTCCCTTTCATGAATCCGAGCAACAAAACTGAGAAATCCGCAACAACCTAACTCGCAGACTGATCATTTCCTTCCCAAATTTCAGTGTAAGAGCAATTCTATCCATTTCTTGTAATGACTCATCACTGCTGCCCTGAGCAAGGTCCCAACACATGCAGAGGAATTTCTGTGCAGGTGGTGAGGGGCAGAAGCTGCAGGATACCTCCTGGACACTTCTTTCTAAACCTAAAGTTAGCACATCCCGGAAGATTCAAGTCATTTCACCAAATTTCTACTTCAAAGTTTTTTAATTTGTGTTAAGCATGGAATTAGGGGCTCCCCGCACCTCCCTTTTGAAATGGGTAAGCTTTTGGGATGCATGTATGTATTAGTCTGGTCCTGCTCAACTGCCCAGCCACCACTGCAATCAGGCCAGGTAAAAGAGCACGGAGAATGAAAATCGTGAAGAACAATGAAGTACATAGCAGAACTTGCTCACCTAACACCTACTCAGCAGGTACCTCCTCACATTGTCATGCTGAAGTCTTTAGGTATAAGAAATCTAGACAGACACAAAATGGAGCATAGAAGTATACCACTAGCACAGTATAGCTACATATAGCATCAAATACACCAATAACAGACTTCAACTGGAGATTCAAACTAGTTAACGGTGCTTCAGATTCACTGCTAGAAGTTAACAAAACCCAAGTACTAACTTGAGTCAACAACCAGTCAACAGTGGGCTTTCAAGTATACAAGTCTAAAGGCCATCTTCACTTCAGTAAAGCTTCAAACACAAGGAATGGCCATGTAAGACGAGATTTACCTCTAGGCACATGCCATCTCCAGTGGTAACCAGAAGATGGGTCAGGATGAGTGCGAGAACAGCCCAAGGATGCAGTGCTATTTCCCCTAGTAAATCCTCTCAGCTTCAGCTATCTGCAGATCAGGGAGAGACAGAGGTGGTCCACTGAGGGCTGTCAGAGACAACTTTTACAAACTGTAGCTAATGACTTTTAAACATACATGTTTGTGGCACCCACAGCATGCCGGGCAGCTATTTCCACAGCTTTTGCTCTATAAGCAGGTTCCACCTTTGGCTCACTCAACCTCCTGCTTGCAACAGCAGCATTTTATATAACAGACCAGAGAGATTCAGGGTAGGAGGCAGGTATTCAGCATTAAACCATATAGACGACCTTAACCCTAATTCCATCCCTTTAAAGAGGTGATAATCTGTTCTTAACCAGAAACTTGTTACAGTTTTCACACCTTGGATTAGACTGCATCTCATTGCGTCCAATACATCTGTGACAGACTGGCTCCCCCAGTACAGAGTACATGAAGACAAAGTGACTACTACATCTGCCAACAGTGACACCTAGAAGTTTTCATACGGACTTTAAGAGCCATATTAGAACAGCCATGTGCAGGTATTTTGTATGTTACCATATTAAGATCCAATTTGGCCTTCTATGTTTACTATTTGAGCAGTCCCAGTTTTAGTTTTAAAACCTGAGCTACCAAAAAGCAAGCAGCTAGCTGCAAGCTGCTCTCGGAAAAGAGCTGTTGAGCAAAGTCAGCTCCACACTAAGGTCATAGGCAAGAACAGACTTGAATGTAGTGAGAACTTGAGGATATAACTTCACACCTAGTTGAGCCCACATAGAACATCCCAACAGCAAACTCACAACTGCTTAGTAAGAGCTTGATGTGGGTGGCAAATAAGCCACAGGGGAATTATGAAAATTGGAAAGGCAAACTGAGATCTAAGACATATGCTTGGGTGTGACGTTTTTAAAACAGCAGAAAACCTGCCCCAGAACCCTGCTATCAGCAAGCACACTCCCACTTCCAAAGGTAACCAGAAGTCCCATGCCAAGTCAGGGAGAGTCTGGTTTGCTTTATGTGATGTTCTCCCTCCATGCTGGTGAAAACAGCTTTGATTTAGTTCAGCTTTGTTTCTCTGCTTTAGGACACACAGCCAAAAAGCTGAAATTTTAGATCCCTATTTTCCTGTCTAGCTACAGCCACAACTGGAAGTAAATACATGGTGGGAATGCAAGTTGAGCAAGGGTAAAACATCTCGCCTTGTCTGCCCACACACAGGCTTCTGGTCTCCACAGGTTTCTGAAATTAAGCCACTGAGTCAGGAAGAGAAGTCTGAGTTTGGCAAAGCTCCAGATGGCCTTTCTTGAGGCTTCAATCTCTCAGTAAAAAAAAAGCTTTGTAAACAAAGAGGTGCGATTTTTTTCAAACCTTAAAAGAACCCCATAAGAGAATTCCTTGAGACTCAACCAATCCAATCCTGGCACTCCGCACCAGGACCAAAATTGTTCTGGTGCAGGGCAGCATATGAGCAAGCAGCTTCCCAAGAGGAAATTCAGATCAGCCACCAGGCAATCTATGGGCTCTGTGCTTAAGAAATTTTATATGGTCTCTCATGGTCTGTTTTGCATTCATCATCTAACTTGCTTTTTGAAACTGAGTTATGGCATGGCTTTCAGAAAGCACATTTCCATACCTCCTTACCATACCCCAAACATCAAAGCTAACTTCCTCTAAGAAATGAACTTGACATGATTAATTGCCTAGACAACCACCACTCAGGGGCAGGCTCCTGCATGTCAAGGAAGCAGGAACACAGGAAGATGGATACGTCCATACCCGGTGCCTCTCGCCAGAGTCCACGCTGTACACTCGGGCACTGGCTGGAACCAATTGCTTTAATACCAAGACAAGCACATGACGTGCAGCTTGTTCTAGGTTAAATGGGGAAGAGCAGAGCAAGATCTCCACTCCGACCAGCTCGGAGCAACACTGGCTTCCAAGAAAGTTGGAAACACCAAATACCTCAAGAGAAATACCCCCCTTTCTGGAAACAGACACCAAGTAGCTGTTGCTTCTTTCTAGCAGGAGAGCTTGTGCAAGGGCTGTCTCACCTGAGGTTTAACATTCACTGCCTCTACTGCATTTTCATTCAGCCACTTTGCATCGACTTCCACATCAAAATGGCCAATATTACACACTATGGCATCATCCTTCATCTGCTCAAAGTGCCTGCAAAATAAAAAAATCATCATCAAAACTTAACGCACAAAGAAATTTTTCTTCTTCAGCCCCAGAAGATGCTCTGGTCTGTAGCTCTGCTCAAGGAGAAATGAAAAGTGCCTGGCTCACTGACGGCATTTGACTCTCAAGATGCGTAGGTCTGGTAAACTTCCAGGCTTGTGAAGTCTACCAGAAAAAAAAACCTCAAGCGAACACTTCCCAAGGATATAAGAGGTTGAGAGAAAATATGTTCTCAGTATGGAAAGTAAAACTGGTTTGTTTAACTGGTCAGAACTAAAACACCTGCAGTTATTCTCTTTCCTACATAGAAGAAATCATTATCTTCATGACTTTTAAGTTTCTTCCAGCGGTTTTACACCTCTAGAGACTAATGGCCTTATCGCCTCTCACTAAATCTGACCTTCCACTACAATATGTACATTCATAATGGCAAAAGACAGGAATGAGTTTCTGTAGAGTGGAGGGGCTATAAACTGAGATCTAAGAGGTGATAAAAAAACGTGCAGGGTTACTGAGAACAGGCTAGCTTCAAATCTGCTATGTGTACTCACAGATGGAATCACTTTCACTCTTTACTTTTCAACATTTACCTACCTCCTCTTCCATTCACATTTATCTGTTCTAACACAGAACTTAGCCCTGATGCTCTGATTCTCCAAAAGTCAATCTACCCATCCACACCTTCTGTTTCACCATCATTACATGCTATAAGACAGGAATAATTGTAACGTGGCAACATCCAACAGAACTGAAAGACCAAGGTCCCAATTTCTCACTAAACTGATGCTAAATCCTGATGTCCAGAAATGAGACTGTGCTAACCTCGCCATGCTGCTGACAATTTACGACTGTGTTACAAAAATCTAACCGCACAGGTATGCTTTCACTAGAACAAGAGGCTAGACCGTACCTGCCCTGAACAATGTCAGTGCAGCCAGTGGTGGTAACAAAGATATTGCCTTCTTTGCAGGCTTCCTCCATGGTTGTGACTTCATAACCTGAAAAGAGAAAAAGTTATTCCTCTACCCAAACTCCAGCAATTATTGAAAAATGGGCTACAATATTACAAGTAAAGTACAGAGAAAGAATGAGTAAGATAAGTCTGTGCTAACACCTGACCTGTGGAGGATGCAAGGTAGTGGGCACACTCATCTTGCTAAATACCAACAAAAATATCTATCCCTCACCTGCTTCCAATTTATAGATCTAGACATTCAATGTCTTATGTCCATAGGTGTAGTATCTGGCACAGCACTCAGATCAGATTCAGGGGGTCAAGCTTGCAAAGGAAAATGCAGCCACAACACCTGCAGGTTCTAGTCAGGTGTGAACAGAAATGGGAGAAACTGGTACCAAGAACCACCACTACATGAGGCACCACAGAAGAGGAGCACAGCTTCCAGAGCATGCCACGAGCACAGCTGGAAAGGCAGAGAGCATGGCATGGCTCTCGAAAACATCTACTGAAGGCAAGGCCTGGTGTTTTACTGGAGAGATACTCTAGCGAAGTCTTCACCCACACGGGAGATGAGAGTTGCACAATGTGAAGATAACAAATCCATTCAAAACCAGGATTACAGCATTATGAAATATGGGCCTTACCCCACTACGGTCTCTGTATCCTTGACTCCAAACACATCTTCAAGAGCCTATACTAATAATAAACTCCTTCCCTAACTGTAAGGAAAGGGTTCCTATAGTTAGACTGGAGTCACCGCTACCTCAACAGGGACAGGGCTGAAACACATTGAAACTTTCTTGGCCAACTCTCATTTCTTGCTCTGCACTCAGATGCAGAGATGCCCATCAGATGCATTACACACCGCACCTCCTCCAGTTCTCACCTTCCATCGCTGCCTGCAGCGCATTGATGGGATCGATTTCAGTGACGATGACTCTGGCTCCAAAGCTCCGCAGGGCCTGAGCACAACCTTTGCCCACATCGCCATAACCTGCCACCACTGCTACTTTTCCAGCAATCATGACATCTGTAGCACGTTTGATGCCATCGATGAGGGACTCTCTGCAACCATAAAGGTTATCAAATTTGCTCTGAGGAAGAAAAAGGAGCAGTTTCAGAACAGATGAAAGTCACTCAAGTAAAAATTCCTTAGAGAAAGAAAATGGACTCATATGCAAGTACTACAAACCAGGAGGCTGACAGTCAGCTAAATACTTTAACCACAATGACAGACAGGAAGATAACCTGGTTTGATGGCTTTTCTTTACCCAGTTTCAATATATACAGTTATACCAGATACCGGCTTCAGCACACCGCTGGTCAGAAGCATTTCATAAAAATATTGTGTCTACTGACTAGGGCTTTGACTTGATAAATTCAGGTTACCTGTAACAAGCTTTTATCAAGTAAAAGCACAAACAATTCTTGTGTACAGAGGTAGGTCTGAGCTCCTTAACCAGATGTTCACCAGTTCTGTTGCCATTTATCAGACAAACTGAACCAAGTGCCACAGATAGGCAAAAAACACCGTCAGAATATCTGGCCAATTGGTTAGCGCATATTCCTATCTTTGCAAGACACATGCATCCTGCAGAAGCAGTAAGTTGCCCACACCGACCATGAGAAATCAGTTCCTGTAGCCCAGGAAGATCAAAAATGCATCCTCCCCCAGGGAACAGTTACACTAACACTGCTTGACCTCACTGCTGCTCAGATCTAGAAAAATCCGGCAAGTAGCCATCCACAATACTGGTCACCGCAACCAAGAACCCCTGTATTTCTTCTCCTAATGCCCCATTGCACAACATCCTCCTACTGTAACATTAACACACAAGCTTAACAGCCAGACCTCCAAATCAAAATTCCCTTGCTATGTCAGATGTCAAACAGCGTTCCACTTGAACATCTTCCTAAGCTCAGAAACACCTAAGACTCTGCTGAACTTTGTGACGCCCTTCCTTTTTCTCCTTGGGCCCTTTGTTTTGACCAGGAGCATGGGCTGTATGAACAGATTTGCTTGTCTGAAGAGCTACAGAAGCCAGGAACTTAAAAAAATCTGGCTCCCAAAGTTGTGCTAAGCTTCCCAAGGCAGGGGTATAAAGAACTTGCCATTCACAGAAAAATTCTGGTCTCAAAGCCTGTTCCTGCTTTCTACACCCTTAGGACACCAATCATTCTTGCTTTTACTTAACACAGGCAGTACTCTGTCTGCTACAAGTAATCTTGAGATTGCATACCCAGATGCGAGGAGGGGCATTGATCTTTCCAATGGGACCTATCTTGCAGCTACACCTGGTGCCATCTAACATGTCAGATAATGTTACAGTTTGGTTTTCAGCCTACAACTTAAAACTGCAAAATTTTTATAATAAAAAATGCAAAGTCCATGTATAAGAATGTTGTGCCTATGACTCCAATGCATTATCTGAGCCAGTTACAAGGTACACTTGCATATCACTCCCAGCCTCAGAAGCTGGCCCAGGACCAATGTGTAAGAAGTTATACTTCAGATCCAGAAGTACCTGAGTCAGTGCCTGTAAGTCTTATTACTGGCACACCTGCTATTAATCTTTCAGTAAATTTGCATTACCAATGCTTCAAATTCCAAAGCTAGTGCCAGTTGATAATTCTCTTTTCTAGTCCTCCAGCGGATTTTCCTGGCAGCATAAGCCTTCTTCTGGAGGAAAACCATTGTCAGATTTGATTCCTCATCACCAAATCCCCAATTGCAATCAAAGCCTTCCAGGTGCCTGTGCATTCCCATGCAGGCAAGGTAGCAGAGTGCCAGATGCAGATGTCTGTCCCACCCAAAACCACATTTGAGTGGTGGATGGAAGAACAGAACTGGATACTGCCTGCCCTCTCTCTTCACATACTAATACAGGAAGCTGGCATGAAATCAACATATCAAACCAGGAGAGCAGAATTTGTCGGCTCAGTTGCATGTCTTCCTGGAGATCTATAACTGTGGTTAGTACAAACATTTTACTACACAAATACCAAGCAGTACTTGAAAATAAGCACTTGTTTGGCACTTAAATAAAGTTAGCTCAACCCAAATCTACTCAAGGCTTTTTTAGAAACATCTGAATCTCCAAAGCTACTAAACAGTATTAGTAGTTATAACAGGCAGCACAAATCTAGGTGAAAAGGAAGCAGTGAAACTAGGTTCTTCCAAGATCAACTGGATTCCAGCCAGCCCACTAGCTATGAAACAAAAATGCCAGATGCATCTTTCTGAGCAGAATGGAGATACTCTTCAGAGAGCAAACTGCAGGGAAAACAGGCCAAACAGTCAGTGAGAACTGCCATGCTCAACAAGAGAATGTTAGTATGGTAACTCAAAATAGATTTAGCAACTAGATTTTAAAAATATCTAGATGCATAAGCCTTAAGTACGCCTGAAATTCTCACTATATTTCATCTACATCCAAAAAGCATCAGCACCCTTTAAACATCATTCTGCCTTATCCCTTAATTCACTAGGATTTCTCTCGGGAAGCAGTCATATAGCTAAGCAAGGAATAAATACCTCCTGCCCTATCCTTTGCAACTGCCGCTCGCAGAGCCACCCTGCCAGATCAACCGACCCTTGCCAGCCACAAGCTCGCGTAGGCCACTTTTCCAGCTGGTACCTACCAGCTACCTGTTGGCTTTAAGCTACTCAGCTTGAGGACATGCCCCTTGCTACGGGAACTGACTGTACCCCAAGAGCCATTACTTCCAAAGGTGCTTTCACATTACTAACACGCAGAAGAATGCATGTCCTTACATGCAAAAAAAGCCCTTGACGTTCCACTTCCAAAGGTGCTTTCACATTACTAACATGCAGAAGAATGCATGTCCTTACACGCAAAAAAAGCCCTTGACGTTCTGAAAACAGGGTATTTACAATGGCATGTCCCATTAGAGACACCATGGGCTCACTTCGAGGATATGGTGAAACTCTGCTCAGTACCAGGTCAAGAACAGCTCAGCAAGAGAAGGAATACTTGCATGGGAATGACAATACCCCAACACCAAACTGGTCATACGGCAGAAGGGCTCTGGCTGCATTACCTTGGTGACAGAGTCGTTAACATTGATAGCTGGCACTTTCAGGGTCCCGTTGGCCTTCATCTTGTACAGGTTGTGAACTCCAGTGGTTGTCTCTTCTGAAATACCCCGGATTCCTGTGGGGAGAGTAACAGGATTCACCTTAGCTGGAGTTAACGCTGCTGCAAACCAAGACATCCAGGTACTGGGAATACCCTCCAGAGACCTAAGTTAAACAAATGCTTTACAGGAAGCAGGGAAGAGATGGACTACTCAAACAGTAGCTTGAAACCTCAAACCAGTTTCTTACCCCACAAGGCAATTAAAAGGACAGGACAAAATATTCTTTGGAAAAATGGAAAGGACCAGCTCTAGACCAGAGGATCAGGAAAGACCCCACTCTAACCTATTTTTCTCACAAAATGACGACAAAACTTTTCTGCAAAAAGGGCGAGATGTTCACCCCAGTGATGTCTCTACAGCCTGGTCCATTCTTGCAAGGTGGCTTGAAAGGAGATGATACCTAGATAATCACACTTAAATCTAAAGCACTTGGATCAAGTGAAAACAGTTTGAAAACACACCATACAATTCAGCAATCCCAGTCCTCCTGTTGTAATCAACTTCAGCTCTGATTAAACAGTTGACACTCGCCTAAATCTGGATACTTCAGACTAAAACTTCAGTTTCACAGGCATTACTTAGCACAATCAAAAAACAAATATAACCTTGATTGAAAACGCTCCAGAAGGCAGAAACTAGAGACAAAGGACTCTCTAGAAACACCAACACTGTATTATGGACTAAGATCCTGATAACACAGGAACTGTCATGGGGTTACGTGGCTTCACATGACACCGAAAAGCCAAAGCACCCTCAGCTTTAAGGGTCCCGACTTCATGGACGTTTCGACAGCAGCCAGCTGTTCAGAAGCGGCATCATTGTACATGACTTCTGGATATCTCGCCTCTCTGATGTCTCAATAATATCTCCTTGTATACAACCGTCTAGCTGCTACACTGGGCAACATCCTGATTACTTAGGAAACCTATCTGCACAAAAAGGTACTCAATTTATCACAATCAGAATAAAATTCAAACTAAACTATCCAGCCTGGCTGAATTTCCGCTGTAGAGGACAAACTGATTACGTTTGCTCTTTAAGAACTGGAGGCATACTCCAAGACAGTTGTTTTGTTGAAGTACAAACTATTGGGGGAAAACAGGAATCTGCTAAAGCAGGCTGAAACCACCAAGACATGCAACATCTCTATAAAGAGATCCATGTGGCACTTGCAGGTAATTCAGATTCACAAGGAAAATTTACAAGAAAACATGAAAACGATGACTACAAAGTTCTATGTGCACCAGAGATTTATGCAAAGAAGATACTGCTCTTCCAGGCAAGTGGTCTCTCACATTGACTTCCTAATAAAATTGAAAGGACGCTCATTAGAAAAATAATTTTACAGTCTGTTAGATAGAAAAGCTCTGAGAAATACGCAACGTTCATAAATTGTTCCGTTCAGGCCCTTTTACTGATGAAGCAGGTGACAGCCCAGGTTATCCTAAGCGAGTGCACATGAACAGACAGAAATATTGCTCCTTTTCACGCAATTTTTCTTAATTCCTCTCTCTCACTGTATAACATATAATCACTCCAAATTCCTACATGCTTTCTTTTGATCATTCTCTACCCACAGCCCTCCTAGTATTTCCAAAATGTGAGCACTAGCCTTTCTATTTCACATCTAGCAAAAGCAGAGGGGCCAAAGGATTTCCTCCAGATCACCAGCCAGCGGCAACGGCAGGGCTCCTCAACCAGAATCCAAGTGCCTCCTCAGCAGCCAAGATCACTTTAAGGATAGGCAAGTGGGAACGAATAACAAGTAACCCCCAGCAAAATCCCCCGAATTATTTATGCAGTCAGTTAATTCTGGGTATCAGAGAAGTATCTGTCACTGCCTCACCAGCCACTGAGACCGATGAGCAGTTTAGAGAACAGAATAACTGGCAAATCACCTCACGCGGAACAGCTATTGTTGCTGACACCAATAGCACAAGCAGAGCCCATGGCAGGAATGGGAACAAAGCCAACGAGATCAGCACCCCCGGCTGAGCAACCGGCCTTGCCCACAGAGAACAAACAAACAGTCAGCCATGCAAGGGGCCCGCAGGCTCCGGGAGACCAGACCAGGACCCTGCAGGAGCACCGGAGGGCAGGAAGGCCAGAGCATGCCTTGCCGAGCCACAGGATCACGCCGGGGCGAGCCACAGGGACCTGCACCCCCTGGGCGCTGCTCCCCAGCAGGTATCTGCACCCCCTGGGCACTCAGGGGTGCTGTGTCACAGAATTGCAGAATACCACAATGGTCCAGGTTGGAAGGGCCCTCTGTGGGTCACCCAGTCCAACCCCCTGCCCAAG